AGAGAGAGAGAGAGAGAGAGAGAGAGAGAGAGAGAGAGTCAGGTAAATAAATACCCAAATATGAGAATAAACGCAAAACAAAGTGAAGTATGGGAGGAAAGTCAACTGTGTAGAAAATGTGAGTATTTCGAAAATCAAAACACAAGAGTTCTGAAAAGGCAATTCAATTTTCCAGATATTTAGCAACTTTAAATTAAACCAATGAGGATAAATTAGGGTTGCCATATATATATATATTATTGAGGATTTTGCAAAATCACTAGATTTCTTGAAAAATGAAAAGTTTCACTATTTTTGTTAAAAAATAAAAATCACTAGATTCATTTTAAAAGCCTGCCCCGGGAAAACCTATCATTTTTGTTGAACAAAAAATTCTCAAGGCCCAAATCACTAGCTCTGGCAGCCGTGGGATAAATAACACACGGGTATCCATGTTTAGAACAGGTATCGATACCGATACCAATACTTATAGGTACTTTGGCACTTATATAAATTGCTGTTGTGCAAGTGCCGTAAAATTCTAATAATTTTGCACGTCAGGTTATTCGTTTTTGTCGGCTTCGTTGCTTTGTCGCCACGTCTGCATTTCGTGTCCATTTTCATCTGAGACATATGCTATTCACCTTTGTCGTACAAATACGGACGTGTATAAATTCAAGGAACGTGCAATAGAAAGAGAAACAAAAGCCAATACAAAAGAAGATTTTTTTCTAAAAAGCAAAACCGAAAGAAAAGAATCAACAAGATAAAAGGAGGCCCCTCTCCCTCCCCCTACCCCCACCCACCTTCTAGAAATATATTTTAAAAAAGAAACAAATAATAAAAACACTGGGTCCCTTGGCTTTTTTTTACACCATAAAAGAAGACAAACCCTTGTCGTTGCATGTCTATTTGTTTTGCAAGTGCCGGAAAACTCTTACTAAAAAGAAAAACAAACAAACAAGCAAACAAACAAACGAACAAACAAAAAACAAAAAGCTAAAAAACAAACAAACTTTTTAGAACTGTCGATTCATTTAAGAGGCGAGACTTCCGAATTTAACGTCTGTCTGCGATATGACCGAGCGAAGTAGCGAAGTGCCCCAAACAGACCTTTAATTCTTGAACACTTCATTTGTGATTGGAACCCACGTCATATTAGCACCATAGCATGGCATTATGCAGACTGAGCGAACAGTAAAACAACCACCTTTCGTAGACGCTTTCCTCTCATGAGCTTTGTCTAAGGTCTTGAACTTGTGTAACAGTAAATTTCAAGTGAATAGAATCCGGTTTTCAAGATCAGGTCCAATCGGAGTGGTTGCTTGCCCTGCTCAATAAAATGATAATAAAAATAGCGGTGGCCAGATGTCCCCAGTTTATTGGTGTCCATTTGTGTGTAGAGAGTAAACAAGGGCCACGACTCCCATCGACCTTATTGGTCCACCACAGAAATGGGACAAGGGGCAGACTGGGCAATGGTGTCAATTACTTTTGTTTTGTGTTCATGTAGGTGTTTCAACGCCCCCACTGACACAGTTGAGATAATCCAGGAGGCAGGCAACGATCCTGCCTGTCAGGACCAACCCGTGCTGAGATGGATACAACGTCTAGAGCTAAGCTGACTGAAATACCGAGGTACTCAATAAAAACTCTTCTCACCGGAATCGAAATGAGGTCTTTGCATGCGACGACGAAGTGTCTTACCGCTACACCGATGTCGACGGGGGCAGAAAACATCTTTAGTTATATGTTACTGTGCTTCCAACGAAATACACTTTTAGATAGGTTCAACTGTCCACTTTGACCGAGACAACTGTTCACAGTAGCCAAATTAATAATGTTTTTTTGTTTTGTTTTAGTTAGCGTTTTACGGCACTTCCTACACAATAAGGTCATATAAGTGGCTACGATGAGAGGTGTTACAAGAATGTAACAAACGTAAAAAAGGAGGAGGAGAGATAAGGACGATAGATATTTGATAGGAAAGAAGGAGCAAACCACACCGGAGCACCCGCCGACAATAATAATGTCGAAACATTTCTCGAGGTATAACTATAACGTCTTAAGGAGGTCAAAACGGTGTATGGGATGTAATTCTCTTTGCAGATGCACACTGAAGACGCGAGCTCAATTCACAAAATCTAAATGGTGTCGATGGGGACGTATATATTATATATTAGTTTAGTTTAAGTTTAGTAGAGTTTTTACAACGCTCGCAACTGCAGAAGGTCATATGAGCGTCAAGGGGTGGATGTCAACGGAGAAGTCCATACAGGGAATCAGGCCCACTCTGCTCACCTTTCTAACCTCAACAGCACTAAGTCTGCTTTGACTATCTAAGCACCCCAGAAATATCGGGTCACAAGAGTGTGACAAACACACAAAAGAAGTACCGGTAGAGGAAAAATTACGATATTAAGAACTAGGAAAGAAAAGGCAACAGTTCCTTGTTGTAGTTCAAGCACAGTTATGAGCATGACATTGATGGATCAGCCCATTTACAATTTCTACTGTGCATAAGAACATGTTAATTAATGTCCTCCCTTTGGGAATGGCCTAAAGACCCTTCTTTCAGTAGCACCGCCCCAGGGATGTGTGAATGTATGTATGTATGTATATAATGTCTGTCTGTCTGTCTGTCTGTCTGTCTGTCTGTCTGTCTGTCTGTCTGTCTGTCTGTCTGTCTGTCTGTCTGTCTGTCTGTATGTATGTATGTATGTATGTATGTATGTATGTATGTATGTATGTATGTATGTATGTATGTATGTATGTATGTATGTATGTATGTATGTATGTATGTATGTATGTATGTATGTATGTCATGTATGTATGTATGTATGATGCGGTGCTTGGAACTGCATAAGGTAATATGACCGTGCGGGACACATTAAACTATTTCAGTTGGTAGGATATTTTGAATTTTGCCCGGGTGGCGGCCGAAGTCTCGATTTTAGACAACCAAGGGATCTTTAACGTGCGCAACTTGCACACAGGCCCTCCGAGATTTTTTGCCCTTGTCCGAGAAGGCTAGTTGTATATTATCTTTCCTACCAGAAGGTCAGGGGTGTGTCTGAAAGGCAGCTGTAAGAATGAGCCAAGGCAGAAAGATGAGACGAAAGTAGACGACAGAACATTGCTAGAGAAGGGGTTCTCGAATTCGCCCCCGGTCAGAAAATACGTTATCTGTCGGGGAGGCTGATCATAAACTCTACCGCTTTGGTATCGATATATGGCTAAATTAGGCAGTTGCAGAGACATCGAATACTCGCTACTTCCTAGATCTTTCAATATCGCTACAACTGAAAGACGATCTGAGTCCAAGAGCAAGTGGTCATCTAAAAGTAGTAAAAATTAGAGTTGTGGCCATTCAAATATCATCATATTCAAATTGTTTTCAGCACTTATATGTGCTACCGTACATCTTTGTATAGCACTTGTGCCGTAAAATTCTTACTGAAACTAAAGTGAGAAGTGTGTCCAGTAGCCCGACCCCCCCTCCTTCTCGCTATCCTGCCCTCAGATGTCCTGTAGAAGCTGCTCTTGTTTTTGCATTATCTCTCACTAAGACTTGTCTCCCCCCCCCTTCTATTGTTTCCCCACCCCTCTCTCTCTCT